GCCCACTTCTCCAACCTATCCAGGTCTGCCTGGATGCGGTCCCTGCCTGCCGGTGTATTCACTTTACCCCACAGCTTGGTGTCATCAGCTAACTTGAACAGGGTGCTCTCCACACCCTCATCCAGGTCGCTAATGAAGATGTTGAACAGCACCGGCCCAAGGACCAAGCCCTGGGGGACTCCACTGCCCACACCCTCCCAAGTCGACTTCGACCCATCCACCACCCTCTGGGTGTGCCCCTGGAGTCAGTTTGCCACCCGCATGACTGTGCATTTGTCAATGCCACAGTCCCTCAGCTTGCCTACCAGAATTGGGTGGGACACTATGTCGAAGGCCTTCTGGAAGTCCAAGAAGATGACATCGACTTCCTCCTTCCCATCTAAGCTCTTTGTTACCTGGTCATAGAAAGAGACAAGGTTAGTCAGGCAGGATCGGCCTTGCACGAACCCATGTTGGTTACCTCTCAACATCACTTCCCCTGCAGGGCTCTCACAAATGTGGCCCTTGATAATTTTTTCAAAGACCTTCCCCAGGATAGAGGTGAGGCTGACTGGCCTGTAGTTGCCAGGCTCATCCTTCCTCTCCTTCTTGAAAATAGGGACCGCATTGGCCCTTTTCCAGTCCTCAGGGACTTCACCCGAGCACCAGGAGTCCTTGAACAGCCATGCCAATGGCTCTGCAATGACACCAGCCAATTCCCTTAGCACCCGCGGATGAAGGTCATTCGGGCCCGCTGACTTGGACACATCTAAGCCCTCCAGCTAATCCTTAACTAGATCTGAACTAACGGTCGGGGGACTCACATCCTTCCTGGGCCTCGCTGTCACCCGAGAGCACCCCATTGTCAGCAGACAGGAACACGGAGGCAAAGAACTTGTTGAAGAGTTCTGCCTTCTCTTGCGCGCCCGTCACCAACTGCCTGCCCTGCCTCGTAGGGGTCCAATGTTACCCCAAGACTTCTTCTTGTTACCTATATACTTGAAGAAGGACTTTTTGTTACCTTTAATCCCAGAAGTTAATCTAAGGTCTAGTGCTGCTTTCACCTTCCTTACCAAATCCCTACAAGCTCGGGTCAGGGAGGTGTACTCCTCCTTTGTCCCTGCCCCCTGCTTCCACCACCAGTCTGCTTTTTTTTTCTGTCCTCAGGCCAGCCTGGATATCCACACTCAGCCATGAAGCTTTCTTAGACCCTTTTCCCGTCTTCCTGCGCAGAGGAATTGCTTCCTGCTGCGCCCCAAGGATAGCCTCCTTGAAGAAGAACCACCTTTCCTGGACCCCCATAATAGCTACCCCCTGGGCTCCGAGTGCCTCCCTGACTACTGCCCTGAGCACATCGAAGCTGGCTTTCCTAAAGTCAAGCATTTGTGCTGTGCTAGTTACCCTCCCCACCTTTCTCTGAATAGCAAACTGGATCATTTCATGATCACTGTCCCCTAGCCTCCCTTGTACTAGCACCTCCCCCACCAGGTTGTCCCCAGAGGCTAACACCAGATCCAGTATGGCGTTTCCCCTAGTGCGGAAGAGTACCTCCTGCACAAGGTGTAGGTCCTGTACGCACGTAAGGAACCTTCATGAGTGGCTAGACCTGGCCAACTGCTCCTCCCAGTTGATGTCAGGGTAATTCGTATCCCCCATGACCACAACATCCTTTGCACGCTCGGCCTCTCCAAGCTGCCTGGAAAATTTCAGATCCAGCTCTTCCTCCTGATGTGGTGGCCTGAAGTAAATCCCTACCACTAGATCCCTCTCCCCCTGCCCTCCTTGAAGTTTGACCCACAGGGTCTCAGTTAAGCCTTCCTCTGGCCCCATTTGGAAGGTAGAACTGGTATACTGTTCCCTAACATAGAGCGCTACCCCCCCCACACCTTTTTTCCCCTTCCTATCTCTTCTAAACAACCTATAGCCCTCTATGTCTACTGCCCAGTCAAAAGTTTCATCCATGTCTCCACTAGGCCAACCAGGTCGATTTTACTACTTGCAAGCAGGAGAGCATGTAGAAAGCTTCATATTGTTCAAGCACTTTGTGTAATTAAGAAATTCCTCACAATACCTGCACTTGCTGCTTGACCTTCTCAGTCTATTTCCATGAAAATGGAAGATATGGGGAGGGGTCTAAAACAAACAAACATTAGATGGTAAAAGAAATGTATCAAGAAATAAGATTCACTTTGGACTAGATTGTGATTTCTACTGCAGTTAAATTTTACCACCATTCTGCTGAGTAGAGCTAGTCAAAATCTTCCCATCCCATCAAAAATTTCTGACTGAATATAAGCTCTTTGTCCTGTAAATAAACATTTTTGTAAAAAAAAAAAAATTGTTTTGAAATCTTCTGGGCTTTTGATGATCGATTGTTTGAAAATCAGAAAACATGCAGAAAAATCCTAAGTATGTATTTTTTTCTTTTTCACAGAAAAGACGTACTGTTTTCCAGCTAGTTACATGGTAGGGGTATTGAATCATTAACGACTGAAAGGGGATGCTATCAACAGAGTCTGTATCTCCTGTAGCATACAGGTCTTTCTTGGAACTTTCCATTCACAAAGATTGACCCTGTTACATTTGTAAGCTCTGACAAAGTCCATGGGCCTAAGGTAGATTTACTAGAGCTGTATGATATAATGTGCTACTGAGAACTTCAGAGAGATATTCTTCGTCTCTCTGGACTGGGTAGGATATAGGATATGAACCAGAGATATGGAGAAGAACAAAGTTGTTGTTGTCGTTGTTGGGTTTTTTTAGCACTTACCATCAAAAGAGTACTTTGCGTTGCTCTATGTGGAAAGAGACAACATGAATATCAGAGCTGGGTATTTGTTGAGTAAATTAACAGAGACAAGCTTGCAGATCCTTGTTTTGAAAAGAAGCATCAGTTCCTAAAACCTGTTCTAGACCTTGCTGATGCCAATGGAATGACCTGACTGGATTAACCTGATTTTTAGAATTAAGTAACCAGGGTAAATTATTTTGAATTCAGACTTTACTTCTCACAAGTACTCAGTGGGTGCATCTACACATGTGCTTTAATGCTCATTAGCCTATCTTAATGCACATTAACACATCACTAAAAAAATGTGCTTTTTAGTTTATGTGCATTAAAATAGGATAATTCTTATTTCCTAGTACCTCACAGTGGAGGGCACTTTAACACATGCTCTGAGGGTGGGGGAGGCTCCAAGAGCCACTCTAATTAAAGTGTTGCCACATCTCCTACATCAGTGTCCCCATGTTTTAAAAATGATGGCAGGGGCACTTGAAGTAAAGCTCGTTCAAGCACCACCACCATCATTATTAAGTGTAGAGATTCTGATACGAGACGCGAGAGGCTGCTGGAGGGCCACAATTGCCCTGCTCCACCAGACTCAGTTAATCAGGGCTGCTCTGACATGCTGGAATTCCAGCATGTTAGAGCAGCCTCAGCATTCATGTATAGGTGCCCAGAGGCACTAGATTTAATGTGCATTAACTAAAGCACATTAATGCATATGTAGCTGCAACCAGTGATATTAATTCAAATGTGTTATTTGGTTAGGCAATTCTGGTGGGTAAGCCTGTTTGCTATCCCTTGAGTAAATCAAAGGGACACAGGTCTACACAAAGCAAATCCATTTCCAAATGGGAACAGGGTTTGTGGAGAAATGTATGCAACATCAGGCTAGCTCTAGTGATGAATCAGGATTAAGTGAGAGAAAACTCCATCCTGTAAGGATGTTGGGTGGCCTTTAAATGAACGTCCATCAGATCATGGAAACCACAGAAGCTGGTTAGAGGTATTTGCGGCAAGTATTTTAAAAGCAAAGAAAAAAATAGCTTTACCTGGTCCACTGCTTTTGGTTAATGATTTCACCTAAAAAAGATAAAGAAAATATCTCACAAGGATGGAGATGTATTGAAAATAGTACAGCCTTTTGCAATTTGTTGCTGAAGGACCTTGATGCCTTCTTTTCAGGTCCAGGTAGGGTTAGAGAGCAAATGAAATGAGCAGTCCACTAGGCGTGTGCGAATAGGCAGCTATGCGATGTGATCGATGCGATGCAATCGATACGATACGATCAATGTGATCAATGCGATCGATGGATGCGATAGATGTGACCGATCGATGCGACAGATGCGGTGCGGTGCGATCGATGCGATGCGCTCCATGTGATCGATTGATGAGATCGATGCAATCGATTGATCAATCGATGCTATTAATCAATGCCACTGATCAATCGATGCGATTAATCAATCAATGCAATCGAGGCAAGATCGATTCGATGGATTGATGAGATTGATGGATCGATGCAAGCGACGGATGCAATTGATGCGATGGATGGATCAATGCGACGGATTGATGTGACCGATCGATGCGATCGATGGATGGATACGATGCAATCGATGCGATCAATGCGATGCGATTGATGCGATCCATCGATGCGATGCGAATGCGATGCAATCGATTGATGCGATGCAATGCAATGCAATGCGATGTGATGGATCGATGCGATCGATGCTATGTGATTGATCGATGGATGTGATCGATGGATGCAGTCAATGCAGTTGATCGATGCAATGGATCGATGTGATGGATTGATGTGATAGATGCAATCGATGTGATGGATCGATGCGATCGATGGATGCGATTGATCAATCAATGCGATTGATCGAGGCGATAGTTGGATGCGATTAATCGATGGATGTGATTGATGGATGCGATTAATCAATCGATGCGATTGATGGATGCGATTGATCGAAGCGATTAATCGATGGATGCGATGGATCGAGGCGATGGATGCGATGCAATGGATCGAGGCGATTGGTGCGATCGATTGGTGCGCTTGAAGGATGCGATTATTCAATCGATGCGATCGATGGATGCGATTAAGCGACGGATGCGATTGATGGATGCAATTAATCGACGGATGCGATTGATGGAAGCGTTTAATCGACAGATGCGATTAATCAATGCAATTAATCAACGGATGAGATTAATCGATGGATGCGACTAATCGAGGTGACCGATGCATGCAATCGATGGATGCGATAACGCTATCAATGCAATGGATGCGATAACGCGATCGATCAATGTGATCGATTAAATCGCATCCTTCAATCGCACCGATCCATCGCATCAATCGATCGCATCCATCGATTGCATCCATCGATTGCATCACGTCAATCACATTGATCACATCGCATCGATCTGTCCATCGCATCGATCAGTCCATCGTATCGATTGATTGCATCCATCACTTGCATCAATCCATCAATTGCATCGATCCATCGCATCGATCCATGACATTGATCGATTAATCGCATCGATCCATCGCACTGATCGATTAATCGCATCGATCCATCACATTGATCGCATTGATCACATCGATCCATCGCATCAATCCATCGGACACAGTTTGGAGTTAGATCAGAAAATCTCTGGTGGTAAGTTGCTGACACACATCTTGCATCCACACAACTGTAGAAGAGACTTGTGGCTGTTGGTAAACTGCTGACTACAGTAAGGGTGCTCAACCGCCAACCCATGGGTCCACAGAGCCATAGCATCTGGCCCACAGGACTCTACACGGGTCAGGAAATTTGGTGCCTGGGAAGCAATTGACATCACCACATGTCCTCCGCTGCCAAATTTTCAAGCCCCATGTAGCTGGATTGGGGCCTGGCCTGGGCTGCTGGTGTGAAGCTGGATCCAGGTCTCCCTACCCCCTCCCGCAGCAGCTGGATTGGGCTCAGGCAACCCCCTGTGTGGCCGGATGAGGCAGGCCACTGCCTCCCACCCTTGCATGGCCAGAACCAACCTGGGCTGTTGCTGTGCCCTGTGCACTCCGCAGAACAGACCCTTGCTATGCCTGCTCTGCACGTCAGATCCAGACCACCAGCTAGATCTGGCTTACAAAGGGACCTGGCACTGCCCATCTGACCCACGACCCACTGTACTAGAGTGTGTGGAAATATCACATGAAAGTTTGCAGGCTGCTCTAGCCATGGGCACAGCATACTACATTGGAGAAACCACGCATAGCCACCCAGGGCAGCAGTATGTAGGTAGGTAAGTATGCTAGGCCTGGTACATTTAGGGAACACATGTTGGAGCATATTTGGTGAACATGGGTTTTTGGAGCCCTGCTGCGCCTGTGTCATTCTTTCATGTTGTTTTGTTATATAACAGTGCAAAAGGCAAAGCAGAGGCACTTTCTTCTACAGCTAAACAAGGAACTTAAGAGCATACACAAACCAGCATTATGTATAATGCTGCTCAGTCACTCAGCAGCTGAAAAGTATGTCTGTGTGATAAAAGAGCTTGCTGAAGGCTCTATGAAGATTAGACCAAG